AAAAAAAAAAAAAAAAAAAATGCATCCTGGAGACTTCCCCAAAGATTGAATAGGTCTGGACTGGACCAGAGGAATCTGCATTTTAACCTGGCCCTCACCTGACAGGGTGTGAACAAAGCGCTGATAGTTATCAAGAGAATAACTTTTTACTTTTCATTCATATTCAGTGAGTATTGCTGGATAGTATAGTAGCAGGTGGAAAAACGAGATGTAGTCCTGCCCCAGTGTAGCTTACAGGAGTCATTATGCTCCCATGAAGTCTCCTGGGAAAACTGTTCCCTGTCAGTGGTGTTTGGTAAGCAGCATGTCCAGAGATGAGAGGTCCAGTAGTGGCATGGCAGAGTAAGCAAGGGCTTTGAAGTTAGGGAGACCAGAATTCGATACACCACCCTTCAGAATTCCAATTACCTCAGTGACCTTGACCAAGGCCTTTAACCTCTGACTCTGTAATATGGAGACAGCCCATCTTTTACCAAGTGGTGAGAACAAAAGAGGTACCATGCCCATGGCTCCCAGATTATCCCCTGGCACATTCTAAGTGCTTAGTAACTGAGTTCTTTTCCTGTTATGCTGGTAGAGGGCAAGTTTATGCTGGGAAAGGTTGCTGAGGCTCATGCCTGTCTGAGGGTGTAGTGCTGGCTGACCCTGGCTCCTCTGTGTCTCCAGATGGTACCTGCGGATGCTGCAATGTTACCGGTGCAGGCAGTGGTTCCACGAGGCCTGCACCCAGTGCCTCAATGAGCCCATGATGTTTGGAGACCGGTAGGTGCTAATTTGGTCAAACTAATCTTAGGGGTAGAATGAGGGGCCAGGAAGGCAATAGCAACTTATCAGATGGCCTGGCAGGTCCCAGACAAGGTGGGGTCTACAGTAATGTATACCTACCTACCTGTCTATGGGAGCCAGTTCAGGGTAGAGCACCCCTTACCTAAGCCAGGGAGGCAATAAAGAAACATATTGGGATATATTCCTAGCTGCCATGGATTGGTGTGGTACTTTAGACAAATCCCTGCCTTCCCTCAGCTGTAGTCCCTTAAGTGTCAAGGGAAAGAGGGGAGACACAGTCCCCACCCAAACCATGCCCAGGGTTGCTGTAGAAGGTACCGGGGAAATGGATGACTTGATCCAACTTTTAACCCATGAGACTAAGCTAATGGAGGCATTATGTCTGTCAGATCAGATGACATATGTCTTTTGGTTGGTGTCTTAAGTCATTTGTGATTGTGTATGAGTCTGTCTCAGAGGGGAAGAAGGTGACCACTGCAGCCTAGCTCAGCTCATACTCTACAAACTCAGCCACACTTCAGGGCAGTATTTGGGAAGAAGGCTAGGGTAGGGCTTAGAAAGCATAGGGGATATTTCTTCATCCCAGTCCTGCCCCTGTCCTTACCCATTCGAGGTCACCAGCCCTAGGAATGAGAATGCTAAGGGATGAGTGGTGGGAAGGGGGGTGGGCCAGGGTAGGGTATCAGGCCCCTCTCCATCCATCCACCCACAGGTTCTACCTGTTCTTCTGCTCCGTGTGCAACCAGGGCCCAGAGTACATCGAGAGGCTGCCCCTGCGATGGTGAGAGGGTGGGGCTCACCTCCAGCCCACTCTTGCCCCCTCCCACTTCTTACCCCCTCTGTTTCTCCTCCCTCCTGGGACAATTCACTTCCAGCTACCAGCCTTGCTCTGCCTCTTAGCCTGGACCCCCGAGGCTGGAGCCCTGACCGGGCAGGCTGCTGCCTCACCAGGCCCTGCCTCCTTGCCCCTTGCCCAGGGTGGACGTGGTTCACCTGGCCCTCTATAACCTGGGGGTGCAGAGCAAGAAGAAGTACTTTGACTTTGAGGAGATCCTGGCTTTTGTCAACCACCATTGGGAGCTCCTACAGCTTGGCAAGGTATGCAGGGCCGTGGGGCGTCAAGAGTGGCAGGGGTCGAGAGGGCTGCCCAGGCTTACCAGCCAGAACCCAGGCTTCTAGCACCCTGGAGCTGCTGCATCCGTGCAGCCTCTGAGCCTGAGCCCAGATTTTGGCAGTGGGTGGTTGGGGCCTCACTGATTCCACTGGGGAAGCTGAGGTCCTAGATCAAGTGTGGCTGGAGCAGGGCTCTCTGATTTGACCTACTCCAGAATTCTTTGCTAGGACAGAGTGGAGTATGTTGACCCCTGCCGAGCCTATTCTGAATATTGGGTCACCAGGGGCCTGGGAGCCCCAGAACCATGGAGTGAAGTAACAAAGCAAGACTTTCAGAAGTCATAGCTAGACAGCAACTTGCCTGTGGTCAGCAGGGCATCGGGGCTGAGCCAGAGCTGGAGCCCGGCTTCCCTAACCACTCCCGCAGTGGGGCACCCTTAGAATCCACTCCAGCACACAGGGTGGTGCATCTTCCCCACCGACTGCCCCAAATCCTTCTTGATGACAGGGATTTCTTTTTTTAAGTAATCTTTATGTTTTAAAAAGGTTTTATATATAACAATGTCTTCGTTTACAGTGTTTGATAATGTGTATAAGACATATATATTATAAAGCCTTAAGAGAGAGAATTGGTGGCTCGGCGCCTGTGGCTCAAGCGGCTAAGGCGCCACGTACACCTAAGGTGGCGGGTTCGAATCCCCGGCCCGGGCCTGCCAAACAACAATGATGGCGGCAACCAAAAAATGGCCAGGCGTTGTGGCGGGCGCCTGTAGTCCCAGCTACTTGGGAGGCTGAGGCAGGAGACTTGCTTGAGCCCAGGAGTTGGAGGTTGCTGTGAGTGTGGTACCATGGCACTCTACCCAGGGGGATAGCTTGAGGCTCCATCTCAAAAAAAAAAAAAAAAAGAGAGAGAGAATTGGTAATTTTTTAAATAGCTTTTTTCTGATTTATAAGAAAAATATACATTCCTGGTAGAAAAAAAAAATTTTTTTTTTGCAGTTTTTTTTTTTTTTTTGGCTGGGGCTGGGTTTGAACCCACTACCTCCAGCATATGGGGCCAGTGCCGTACTCCTTTGAGCCACAGGCGCCACCCTCCTGGTAGAAAATTTTTAAAGTACCCAAAAGTACACTATAAGAAAGAATAATTTCAAAAGAATCCATATTCCTATATCACATCACCCAGAAAAAACTAGAAATAATAGGTAAGTACATTTCCTTTCAGATTCTCAACTATGCATGTTTTCTTTTTACATGCTTTAGATGATACCACATATACAATTTTCAGTCACCTTTAAAAAGTTTACATTATAGCATAAGTACTTGTCTATATTATTAAAGAATCTTCATAAACATTTTTATTGGCTGCATTGATTTCTACGATAGTTTACTGGTTTCCCTCCCATTGGGCATATAGTTTCATTGCCATTTGTCCACTGTTAGTAACAGTGCCATACAGAAGAGTTCTGTAGGTGAAGTTTGTTCAGGTTTCATACTACATCTGCAGATACAAATTCCATGACGGAACCCTTGGAGTAGCACTACAGGGTCAAGAGTGTGGACCTTGTTAAAGCTCTTGATACACAGGTGAAAAGATTTGTCTGAGATCATGGACTAAGTCAGTGGTCCTCACGTAGAGGACTCAGAAGCATCAGGAGGCAGAGGGGAGGGAGGAGACAGGAGCTGGGGCTTGTGCCTGGATCTAATTATCCTGCTCCCCTCAGCTCACCAGCACTCCAGTGACAGATCGAGGACCACATCTCCTCAACGCTCTCAACAGTTACAAAAGCCGGTGCGTGCAGGGAGGGATGAGAGTGTGAGGGGCCCCCTCAGGTGGGATTTCAATCTAAAGGTTCTTCCTACATCCTAGACTCTGCTCCCCTTTTTTGACTCTGCAAAAGCTTCCCATCCTTCAAGATCCAAGGAGCCCCTCCTCTGCCTTTGCAAAGCCTCCCTGTCCCCCTCAGCAGCCTGACACATTTTGGCCCTGGTCTGTAGGTGGGGTGTGCCCCTGCTCTCTGAGGGCCCCTCTGGTGCTAGCCATCTAACGTTCTGGGCCAGGTACTGAAGGATTGATGGAGCATCTCTCAGCCTCCTGACTGCAGCCTCCTGACCCGTCCCCCAGAACATGTCCTCCCATCCAGGGTTCTCAGCACATACGGCTGGCCACATTCCTCACCACCACCACATAGTCAGAAGCTCAGGCTCCTTGATCTGGCCTTAAAGGCCTTTTAGGATCAGGCCCTGCCCATGTTTTCGGCCACTGTCCCTTTGCTTTATTCTGAGTGCCAGCCACACCAAGCCCTTTCCCACTGGGTGTTCTCGCTGGTGCTCATCCCTGTGCCCAGGATGTCTTATAGCCTCTTCATTCACTTGTTCTATCAGCAAGTACTGAATTGCTGCTCTGCGTCAGGCCCTGGCTGGGTGCTGAGGCACAGTGGAGAATAAGACACTGCTTCTAGGAAACCTTTTCAGACACCTCTAGGCAAATTTATTCACTTTCTTAACACATTCTTGTGGTTTAGGTACACGAGGCCTTTAGCCTTCCCTAAGGACAGTCCCCTGAGGGCAGGGCTGTGTGTAGGTCACCTCTGCAGTGTCTAAAGGGAGAGGCAAGTGCCTGGAGGTGATTTTGGTCCCCCGGGGAGAAGCAAGAACAGAATAAGGTAGAATCCACAGTATCAATTCCACTGTGAGTAGGAAGCGGTCTTCCTGATGGCTTTGGGGCTGGTTGAGGCAGAGAAGAAAAGGGACAAGAGCAGCAGGACCCACGATGCAGGAGGGACAGCCACCAGCCACATCCTCAGCTACCCCCTGCACCTCCCATCCCTGCATCTCCAGAGGCCACTCTGGATCCAGGGGACCTGCCTGTTTAAGGCTTGGCCCTACTCCCATGAGGACAGAATGAGGCTCCAGAGCTCTCTCCTCCCCTGCACACCCCTCAGGTTCCTCTGCGGCAAGGAGATCAAGAAGAAGAAGTGCATCTTTCGCCTGCGCATCCGCGTCCCACCCAACCCGCCAGGGAAGCTGCTGCCAGACAAGGGACTGATGCCAAATGAGAGCAGCGCCTCCTCTGAGCTGCGTAAGAGAGGAAAGAGCAAGCCTGGGTCAGTGCTCTGGGCCCAGGGGCTAGGGCTGCAGCCAACTCAGTTTCTCTGCTCCCAGCTCCCTGGAGAGTATGTGGCATCCAAGGAAGCGAGGACAACCTGGGCCCAGTTAGCCCAGCTACAGGCACCCAGAGCGCTAGTTAGTGGCGGAGCAGGACGGGTCCCTGACCCCCGACTCCCTCCACCATAGTTCCTTGTTGCCTCAGGGAGGGCAAGCCAGATTGAGGGACCCAGCCTTGCTGGACAAGGACTTGAGCACAGAGGTGAAGGGAAGGCAGCCTGAGTAAGGGGTCCCGCCCTCCTGGCTGAGCAGAGCCCCTCATCCTGGCATTCGGGGACAGGGCACCTGGATGCACATGCGTGGGGAGGCACATTTTCCTTTTCTGCCCACTGTGCCCCTGACCCCCCTGCTCCCCAGGCCTCCCGTGAAGGTGCTGCTATTGTCTGCAGCCCTGTCCTGCCCTTCCTGAGGCACCACCCTCTGGGCCCTCAGGCTCTGACTGGGCCACCCTCTCCGTTTTCTGTCTCCACAGTTTGTTGCCTCACGAATCCCAGCAGCAGAAAAGGCGAGTTTATAGAAGAAAAAGGTCAAAGTTTTTGCTGGAAGATGCTATTCCCAGTGTTAGTTCCTTGTTTTCTTGCTCTCCACCTTCACACACAGGACCAGCAGGGTCAAGCACACATTAGGGGTTCCTGTGTGGAAAACTACATCCCAGGCCCGGGGACTCTCCCATGCCCCTTAAGGAGAAGCCAGTTCCTATTACAGCTAAACCAGCTAAAGCCAGGCATCTGAAGAACCCAAAGTGGGGGCAAGAGCAGGCCACACTCTTCCCTCTACCGTCCAGTTGGGGAAACTGAAGGCAGGGAGGAGCAGTGACTGTCCTGAGTCACCAAGGCTCCAGAGCATTTTCTTTCTGTCAAGTAAATGTATCCTTACTGAAGCCCTCCCGGAGGGCAGTAATACTAACATGGCCTCATCTCCCTAGCACTCTCCACTTGACAAGGCACTTCTACAATTATTTAATTTTACCATGCTTCCTGACACCTCTATGAGTGAAGCAGGGTAGGGGTTATTGTCCCCATTCTACAGTTGAAGAGACTGAGGCCCAGAGAGGTGAAAGTCATATAGTCAGCTAGAGGCAAAGCCAGGACAAGAACTGGGCTGACTTTGTTCCTTGGTGAGGACTTGGAATCACAAGGAAGTGACAAGTTTCACCCGAGGGAGGGTCCAGCCCTCGGCAGCCCTGGCTGGCAGCAGGCAGCCCATGTGGTCCTCAGCTGGGGAGAAGGGTGCCTTTGGGAAGTAGAATTGATACTCACTAGCTGACTAGTCCCCTCTCCTTCCTGTGTCCACAGAGTGACTTCACCTCTGCCTGGAGCACCAACCACCACCTTGCCAGCATATTTGACTTCACACTGGATGAAATTCAGAGTTTAAAGAGGTATCAGTGAGGGACCTAGCAGACAGGCTGCTCTGGAGACTGGGATGGTACTATCTGGGGAGGATACTCTATTCCCCAGGAAGGCTCTCAGAGGGGCAGAGTAGAAAGCCTTCTGAGGGGGTGGGAGCTCCCTCAGGTCATTCTGAAACCCCCAGTTGGAAGGTTCCTTGTGGCATGGTCCACCTGAAGGGTCTTTTTACACTGGCGTTTTCAGTATAACATCCCCATGCCCAGAGCAGCAACCAAGGCCTGCCTTGCCTGGCCCTCCGTACCCCTCCAGCCCCTATC